ACCCATGAGCCAATGTAAAGTCCTTTTCGTTGTTGCCATCGGTTTGTTGACTATGACGCACTTGCGAACAGACTGTGTCTGCTCGCATGCGACATCCCAATTTCTAGTCGTTGACCTAACAGATGGCTGAACGAAGAGGGGAAGGGGGACGCATGAATGCAATGGGAGCTGTTCACGTTCCAGTCTTTCTGTCCCTAATAAATGAAACGACTTTTTGCCCCCTCTGCGTCTGGTGATGTCCAGCAGCTCGTCTTTTTTAGAGGTGTTGACTGAAATTATGACAAGTTTTTTCGATTGAAAGGGATTAGTCTTTTCTAATCGAAAGCACAATTTAGAATTTTGACCAACAGTCAGTTTCACTTTATTAAGGGAAATATGGGCGAGCACCTTTGAACTCCCTATTGGTTACAAGTCGTCGGAGAAAAACATTGATAAGTGGGAAGGTGAAAAAGGAATTTTGTACATCATCGCAGACAGCCGACTGTTAGTCAAAAAGAGTAAGCCTTAACGGTTACTTACTAAGTGAAAGCAGTATAAACACGCATAAGTTGGTGCCGGGTCATGTGAGTGGATGTGAGGCTAGTAATTGGGAAGCTTGATACGCGTCAAGTTTACACTTGAAGAAATTCACACAGGAGGAGATTACAACATCGGTAGGCAGGGCATTCCACGCTGCAACCACCCTGTTACTGAAAAAGAACTTCCGTCCACTGATTCTTGATTTCCCTGCGCGTAGTTTTAGGGGATGACCGCGCAAAGTGGGCGTGTTAACTTGGCTGAAATAATCAGTGGGATCTAAGCAACAGTCTAGGCCGTTGGTAATGCGAAATGTTAGTATAAGGTCACCACGTAATTGCCTGTAGGAAAGTGGAAACAGGTCGAGAGTTGATAGTCGGGTTTCGTAAGACAGCGCTCCCAGACCTTGTGTCATTTTGGTCGCCCGTCTCTGGACTTTCTCCAAAACGGTATAGTTCTTGGCAGTCCAGGGTCTCTACGCCTGTATGGCGTATTCTAGATGAGGCCTCACGTAGGTGCAAAATATTTTTGAAAAGCTGTCTGGGTCTAATCCCATAAATGCTCGCTTAATGAGTTGCAGTGTAGCCACAGCCGATTTAGCCGCCTTCGCGCAGTGCAGTGTTGGTTTGAGTGAAGATGTAATCCATACACCCAAGTCCTTCTGACTGTCAACCTGTTGCAGTGATGTGCCGTGTAGAAAGTAAGTCCTGGGGCTTGAGGCTCTGAAGCTGCCGAGTTGAAGAAAGTTGCACTTGCTTATATTGAATGGCATAAGCTAGCGCTTCGACCAGTCCTCCAGCCTGTTCAAGTTTGCTTGCAGGTGGTCTACGTCTGCCGCATCGTGAATAACTTTTCCCATTTTTGTGTCGTCGGCAAAAAAGATGGCATCACAGTCTAGGTCCTTGACGCAGTCATTTATGAAAACGAGGAGTAACGTGGAGCCTAAGACTAAGCCCTGTGGGACGCCACTCACCACGCTTACCTCTGAGGACTGTTGACGCCCGAACTGCACTCTTTGGGACCGTCCGGCCATGAGATAGGTCAGTTACTGCTAAATAGCGTACGTTATCTGGACCGTCAAGACATTTGAGTACAATCAACAACGGCTCAGGGGAACTAGGGAGCATCTGCGGTTCAGACACAGTTGTCTGTCCCAGATACTTCGGCTTTTATTTCAGCACTGAATGGTTACCACGGTAACCAGAGTCTAGTCTGTGCCACCGATAAGTCCCCTAGTGGTCACGGTCACCGATTTGACTCGACGGTAAACTGGTTGGCCTGCAATGGCTCCCTTGTCCTCGTTGGCTATCGTCCACAAAGAAGTTTGTCTGGCGATCCCTTTTGGGGGATGACGATAGTGCTAGGGCCGGTTTTCTCGTAAAAGGGCGAATACACTCCAACATGGTGTCGAATAAGTTATCTCAAGCTCCCGCTGACTGAGTAGGATCAGAAGACGCTCTCTGACTGCCCACAGTTCAATACTTGGAGGGAACAGGGTGTCCACAGACCGCTCGCAGTCTCCCCGCCGGCGCGGCCGCATACCCATGCCGCTTTCGATCCGCCTAACACCCGCTGATTGCACCGAAATTGACTTCGCCCGGGCGTGGTGAGAGATTGACGTCAGTCGACTTTGCGTCCTCTGCTGATTGGTTCCAGGCGCGCGACAAGCACTCGGCCCGACACCGCCTTCCGAACCGCTGTACGCTCCCCTACTGCGGTAAAAGTTGTTCAGCTGACGTCTCTCTGACCTTGGATTTGAGTATCCTCTCGCTATCGATCCTCAGGATCGATTCCTGGGAGAAAAATTAACCGCAAAACGGGCGTCATCTAGTGAATCAGAAGGTCAGCAAACTTCTAGTCATCTTCATTTGTGATAATAGCAGCACGGACTGAGTTGTTCGCATTCGATGAATGAATACCCAACCGTCTAATACACGCCGATATTGCATTATTTTACTGGAGAGCAGAAATTAAAAGCTCCTCCTCTGAGTTTATAAAAGGAAATATCTCTTATGGAGCAGCGTATGAAAACAAAAGGTAATCCTGAAATTCAAATTATTAATGCATAACCCCCCCGGGTCTTGGAGTAGTTCCCATCCGATGGTCATTTACCAAGTGGTCGAGCTTTTTTGTAGCTGATTCTAAAGCCCCGTAGCTTCTTTTCCGGTTTCTCTCCCGAGAAGTGCTGTATGGACCAGTTCCCAGACTCACCAGCTACACTAACCGGTGCCAGAGCAATCCATTTCAGTCGGGCGTTTGAGTTCTGCCGGGATTCCGCCCCGACAGGGAAGTCAACTTCCTCCCTGCCTTTAACCTCCATCTCCTCTTCAGGAACTGGCGTATTTGTAGGCGCCGACGGAGACACTGCTATAGCAGATGATGCACCGCTGACCTCTTTGTGGACGGAACTTTCGTGACTTGAGGGAGTCTTCTCCTGTCCGATCACAGTCATGACACTCGCTCTTGGAAGCCTTTCGAGGGCGCAGTCTGCCTGCGGCAATCTCGGTGGAGAGGTAGCGTGGCATTCCCGTGCTCCCACCCAGAGTGGACGACCATCTTCCAATCTGGTTGCAGGACGTTGCCTGACACCAGCACACCTCTCCGGATAGGCCACCGCCTGGGGCCGGAGAGGAGCAATGGAGAAGGCGGATCCACATCTGGTAGGACAGGGTAAGGTCTTATTTCTGATGCCAGCGTCTTTGGTAGGTTTGTTTTTCTTCAGGTGACACTTGCAGCACACTGTTAATTTCCCAGCCTTTGTTCTAGTTCGTTGAACTTGTGGATGCTGAGGGCTCCTGCAGTTTGGTGGGCTCTTGTCGGCTCGACAGACACCTTGGTTCTTGAATTTGCAGAACTCCTCAGTGAGCACTTGTATGCCTGTCTTCAGCTCCCCCAGAACCTGCCTTGTGGCTGCATCAACTGGCTGGGGAGAGGGGGGACATTCTGACACTGCACAACTTTCTTGCCGTCTAAGTGGAGCAGAGAGGTTCTTTCGGTCCTTGGCACCACATGTGGCCATCTGACGAAAACCGTCAACGAGGGTCAACACTCCACATTTCAACTCCTCCAGCAGTTGGGTTGTCTTGCAATCCGCAACTGTGTCAGTCGAGGCAAGTTTGGTGTCTTTTCGGAGTCCACAAGCTGAGCACTCATGTGGACTTCGACGACTGGCTATTAGGTCCAGGTCTTTGTCCAACAACTGCAACAGCGATTTCATCTCCTCTAGAGTTCCAAGGACCGAGGGGTCACTGTCGCCGTTGCGACTGCCAGCGTTCCTGGCCTCCGCCCCTGGAAGCTCAGAGGACGCAGTGCCGGGGGTGACAGATTCCGGCAGGCTTGGAGGTCGTAGTGGCGAGCAGGAGATCGAGGACTCGAGCGGGGTGGCCGGACGACTTTTCTGCAAAACGGCCAATGCTTCGAGGGTGAAGCAGCTTTTCTCCTCAAGAGTCTGTACTCGCGTTTTTAACTCACTCAAAGCAGCACCTACGTCAGTGTCTTTTGCTTCTTGAGACAAAATCGTCTCCTCCGGCGCCGTAGTGGGCATGCATAGGGGACCTGCGGTATCGGAGGGCATATTCTTTCCGCCTAATTGCTCTAGCTTAGACAGTATTTCACAGGAATTTTTACTTAACGACGCCAAACCGACATTCAGTTCCTCCAATGTATGCAGTAGGGTAGTACTAGTTGAATTTTGAGATCCAGCTTCTGTTTTAATTCCACCTTTCTGTTTTATTTCCGTAATTTCAACACACATCTGGTCCAGCCTTTCGATGATGGGTTGAAGTTCCTGCACACCCGCATTTTCTATCGGCCTGCACGCGGTATTTGAAAGCAATGAGTCGATCTGTTTGCTCTGGATACAAAATTTCTTTCCTAAATTTTCGAGTAATTGCTTGATCTCACTAAATGCTTTGGAGATTGGCGTTTTCGGCCGACTCTCGTGACTTCTAGTCGCTCCTATGCAATCAAATTTTCTCATCCAAGCCGAGTCCTCTTCAGTCGTTTGTAGAGAATTTGGTGTGATAGTCGCCAGAAGCCGATCAGACGGAACGCTAACAGTCGCACAACCTCTCTTATCATCTTGGCTTTTTAATGCTGCCCCACTAGAATCCACAGTGACACTACATGGAACTTTATTTGTGTTTCCAGGTAAGACTGCTGATTGTTTCACCATTCTCAACATCTCGATATTATTGTGGTGTAAATTGTCCGCCAAGTCCCTTAACGTTTTCCCGATGAATTCCAGAGTTTCTAGCAATTCATCCTCCTGTTGCAGCTGGTTGTCCCAGTCAGAACAGGTTCTTGCTGTAGTACCCCGCGTCATGCACGGAATGTTAGTGCATTTTTCGCCCTTAATACTCGAATATTCGGATGTGGTTTGGCATGTTTCTGTTCTTCCCAGGCGTATTCCGTTAAGGCCTTTTGTAAACAACAACTTTGGATATTCAGTCAGCCCAATCTGTTTTAGTTTTTTCGGAAAGCTGCTAATCATGGTTGCAAAGTCATCAGGGGGCTGTTTTTAGAAGAAAACACTGACTTTCCCATAAAGTGGAAATTTTAATTGGAAATCATGTCAAATCCGAAATTGAAAGAACATTATGACGTAACTGAAGTGTCAAAAAATGACAATGAAGGCTAAAATGATGACCCCCTAAGACACGTGGTTTAGAACGTGACGTATGAGAGCCAAGTATTGATTGCCATGGCTGTTGTGTGATTGGTCGGAGGGCGACTGCTGCCTGGTTGGTGGAGGTGTGGCGGGAAGGCGAATGACCTTGACGCCGTGGGGCGTTGAACATAGACGCCGACTGTCGTAATGATGGCCGTCAACTTCGGAGGCCTCACTCGACCACGAGCTGTGATCCGTTTCCAGCGCAGGCGTCCACGTTCCCGAACTCAAAAAATGAGCGCAATTCCTCCCTGCATCCGAATCCATCCAAATATCCAGGTGTGAAGTGCCTGCGTCAACTTTCATTTTATAAGATTCGGACAGACAGGATGTAAAGGGAAAATACATCTTTTCGCCCCACACCCACATTTCCGTCCACCTGCGCTTTAAAGGAATCTTGCGCTGATGTGTAGTGTACAGTGAGTGACTGATCTCATGAAATGTTGGCCAAAATTCTGCAATGCGTTTCCGATTAGGAAGGATTTCTTAAGTGGGGTTGCTATAGTGATTATCATGCAGCATAACCCTACAACATTTCGGACTCACCGGGATGTCGGCTTTTGAATGCACTTCTTTTTGACCTCCTACAGAAGCCACGCTCGGTAAAAAAAATGACTATCTAAGTAGCGTGCATTTTTCATATTGATCTTCGATAGTCTTATAAATTCAAATATATTTTATAGAAAACTTACACAAAATATGCTTTCTTTTGCTCATTTGGAAGGGAATCACAGGGTCTTTATATTTAATGCCCGCAGAAAGTGTGTATTTAGGTTTGAAAAAAGTTTCGTAATTCCCGGATAATGTTCAGCTTGATCTGCCATTCATCAGCGTTTAGAAATTTCAGTCCACAAGGTGCATGGTTTCCGCGTAAGGAAGATCATACATTCCTCTATGTCTTTAAGAAGACACCACACAGAGTTCATGAAAATTTGTAATGGATTTGGGCTGTGTTGTACATTTCATGGGGAACATTAGTAAACGGACATGTGCTGTCTTGCATGCATAGACATCGCACGGTCTTAAAAATCTCATAATTAGAAACTTTTTTAAAACCTAAATATACACTTTTTCGTGCATAAAATATGACGACAATGTGAGTTCCTTCAAAACAAGCAAAAAGAAACGCATGGGAACATGCTCAGTGATGCATCCCGACAAATGAAGCCACCAGGTCGCATGTGGCATGCGTGGACGGTCTGTCCAACAAATTCAGTCATTGGGCCCAATTTCATCTCCAGGTCGGCTCGGAGGGTCGACTGGTGCATATGAGAGGGACGCGAGTATGGCCACGAGTATACCCACGAGCCGCCACCTGTCGAAATCTGGCACATTCTGCGGGGCGCGTGTGGACGGACTGTCTGACTTTATCAGCCGCTGTGCCCGATCTTGCCTCTGGTCGTCTTGACGCTGTCTTGCCATTGGAGCAAAGTACAGTAAGTGGGCTAACCGATGAAATCTCTACAGAAACTCCGAAATGCGTTTTCGTTTCGAAAAGATTAATTAAGTAGGGTTGTCAAAGCAATCATCGTGCAGCATAATTCAATAACAACATAGTAACCTCAGGGTGCCAGATTTTGAAAGAACTTCCTTCCGGCTGCATGTAAAAACTACACTCTGTAAAGAATGACTACTTGAGTAGCATGCATTTTTCTCATTGATTTTCGATTCCCCTTAAAGTCCAATTATATTTCCTGGAAAGCATGCATAAAAATATTCATTCTCCAGCTCATTCGGTAAAAAAACTACGTCTTCTTCCAATTTAATACTCAAAGGAAGGGTATTATTCGGTTTTCAGAAATTTTTCCAGTTCCCGAATAATTTTGAAACCGCTCTGCCGTCACACTTGCATTCAGGGTTCCTAAACTACAAGCCGTAAAATTTCCGCGTACAGAAAACCACAAATTTCTCTACGGTAATAAAGTGGGACGATATAGGGTTTATAAAATTTAGCAGTGGATTTGATCCCTATTGTTAACTTTACAAGCCACATTGGTAAATGCAGAGATATGACGTTTTATGAAGGGCCATTTCGCGGTATTTAAAAGTCCCACATTTAAAAACTTTTTAAAACTGAATTATGTCCCTCCTTCAAGTGTAAAATTGAAAGAAGACGTCATTTTCTACTGCATGGGCAGATGAATGAATATTTTTATGCATTTTTTCCATGAAATATAATTGAATCTTTAAGGGCATCAAAAATAAATGAAAAAATGCATGCTACTTAAGTAGTTATTTTTGCGGAGTATATATTTTTAATGCAGCCGAGGAACAGTCCCTCTCATGGCCTTAACGACCGATTTTCTCTTAATAAGACACCTGATTTTTAGGAGGCTGCATAAAAATAGTGGTTTGTTAGTTACGATTGGGTAAAATTTGTGTCACAGGCCATCCATACCTCTCTTACAAGGTTTGAAATTAATTCTGGAGGAGAGAGTCGTAATGTCCTCTTCTGATATTCCGCTAGCATCGTGACTTACCCACCTAATCGGTCTTCTGATCTGAGCAAAGGATGTTCTCCACGTGATCGCAGAACTGCATGTAAGTGGGTTGCCTGTCTAAACACGCACGTATGCAATTATCTATGGAATACGATAAAAACCGCCCATTTTCCGCACAAGAAATCGAACTAACTCGGACAGTGGGTGGGGCCTGGGAATGGAGAGTGAGATCGACGTCTCAGAGCATTTTCCTCACTTTAAACAGTCTGACGTGCTCGAATTTATCATTATGCACTAGAAGCGGTAGCTTTGAGTGGTTGCCAACATACTCAGCCCAGTGTGTGTGTTTGTGTGGAGTGGCCAACTGGTGGACTTTGTTAAGCTGTAATGGCTGCTTCGTACTGTGGCGTCTAAAGTGCTCCCACTACGTGGGATCCGAGCCGCTCCTTCCTTTCTTAATGTGTGCAAAATTCTGGTCAGCGTGCACTGTGGACCTGGGGGATGTGATGGTAAGCCTAGGTGCGGGTCATCGCCGTGCCAGCCACCTACGCTCTCTCCCGCCTCCGGTTTTCGTAACTCTGCCTTGACAACGAATACATACGAGAAGGAGAGATTGCGGGAAATTCAGCGCAAGTCTTCTGTTACTTTTAACGAATTTACGCGCAAGCTCTCACCCTGCTGTGGAGCACACGGTGGACATCGTCGAAAGTGACAGCCGAAATGCGCACATCTTTGCGCCAACTTGCGCCGGTAATTTCTCTGAGGTGCGTGTGGCCACTGTCGGCTACAGTATTTATTTGACACCAAATCGACTAACTTCTCCTCACTGGAAGCTGGGCAAGAATCGGTGTAGCTACAGCCGACCAGCGACAGATTTGAACTGTCTTCGACACGGTTCTCCAGCCGGCAGTTTATCAACAAGCCGTATGATCTCCCTGCTTGCTATTCAGCGCCAAGACTTTCCCTGAACAGTTGGTCATCGGGGTGACGGTTCGACCGTCGTTGCACACGATGGGCAACGGTCGGATAAAGGACCCCCAAACACACACACACACAGCCAAAGGGGCCTGTGTTAGGGGAAGGGTAATAATAGGGCTTTTATGGGAGGGGCCTATGTATGCATAGAGGAATCACAGAATGAGTATAGATAATTGTTAAATTCGGTTTTTTTGGCGGGAAGGTTTTAATGCATTGACATATAACAACCAAAATTAAGCGAGACAAGTAAAAAATAAACATTTACGATAAGATTTGGTTACGTAGCCCCTCCTGATGGACATAATACTGTTGGTGTTGGGGGTTAGGGTTAGAGGTTAGGGCAACTATTTCTTAACCACTCGAAGTACAACCACGCATTCCCAATAACTGTTCTTTTGCGTATAATTACTTGACCTCGTCGACTGTACGGTCCCCGGTCCCACCCGTAAAATAACCGATTGCCACCCATCCTGTATTATATGTGGCTGGGGTTTGTTTACTTCAAGTGGGACTACATAACCACATCTGACCACATTAAGTGTCTACTACGATCGCTTCTCAACTCTCCGAACTGAGGTCATTGTAGATAATCCACCTGACTGTCTACAACGACCGCCTCTCAACTCTCTGAGTGGTTAACGCACCAGGCCGTCCACAACAGACGACCCATCCTTTAAAAATGAAACACCAAACTGAGGTAATCGTGTCGGCCTAAAACCCATTTAAATGAGTATAATAGGTATTTTTTGAATGCCACAGATGCTTGCGGTCCCTCTCCCGATCCTTACCACCAGATCAAATCACTCGGGCTCGCTTCCAGGCGAAATTGATCGCAACTGCCGTGAACTTACAGTGGCCCCACTCCGAGCGCCCGTCGAAACTCTGGGTCGCTCATGAGTGTCTGCACGTGCGCAGCAGTGCTGTCTGGCGTTGGCCCACTTGGCTTTCTGACTGGCCAATCAGATTCAAGGCCGAGTCGGACGTGCCCTGGCTTAAGACTCTTTGATGCATTCCCTAACACATACTTGGGACGCCACTCTCGCGGCTTTGGGCGTTCCCTCGTCCGACAGCCAGCTCCTTCCTGTCCCTCCTTCAGTTGTTCTGCACGGAATATACAATCCTCCCAACTGGCGTCCATCTTCTCTTTTCAAGGTCATGGTAGTCAGGGGCTCACTCGTGACTTAGGCGTTTGCGATAAACCGACGGGGCGTAAAGTCCTGGCCTGGGGGTAGAGCGTTAAGTAGTAAACCAGCTGTACCCGAGTTCAACTATCAGGACTCCACAGCGTGGGGCTGTGGTGTGGTTGACTGGCTGGCAGCAGATGACAAAACGGACTGAAACTACTTATATTCTTCTTCTTCTGTCACTTCTTACTTAAACATAGTGACTATTAACGGCCGGTCGTCATTCAATGGCCGGAAGGGACTCTAACGAGGAGTTCATGGGAAAGACGGCATGCCGGTATTCCATCCTGAAATCAGGTCTGGTTAATGGACGTCGTGCGAAGTGTGGGCTCGTGGCTCGGTGACAAGGCAGATTCAAGTTACACATCGCCCAGACCTCTGACTGGACTGCAATTGATTGACGACAATAAGTAACCTAGACGTTCCAGTCCCAGTTGCCCCCCATCGTGAGACTTTAGTCACCGATTCCTGTCCGCCATGGGATCACTTGTGCTGATGGCTATTCCACAGTTGGGTCAGATGGGCTAACAAAGGATACCTTCTCATATACGTAAAGAGCGCACTAAAGTGAATGAGGCTGCATTGACAGTAAAAAGAGGCCCAGTCTATCTCGAAATCCACTGGCGAATTCTCATTCGGTGGCTCGTGGACTTCTCGGCCGTCTTGGGGGACGCTGTGGCTTCAACCTTGATGCCTCGATAGACAGCAGAGGGCATAACATACAGGAGGACAAATAAGGAATGAGTGTTTCTTTCGAACCAATATAGTAACTAAAAGCAAAATCAAATAAGAATTTCACAATGAAACCAGGAATTTGACATAATGCAAAACGCGTGGACAGTCGGTGGACATAAATAAGTCGTGAGAAGAGGGAAAGTCAAGGGAATAAGGGGCATTACCCATCTCGCTAGCATCGACGCGTGCTATCCTTCCGGGAAATTGGTCGTTGTGGAAGAGACCTTACAAGCTGTCCATCGTCACCGGTAGGGTGGCTGAGGAAACGGAGGGACAGGACAACACCACTGGGGGACCGGGGGCATTGGGACAGAAAGGGGGGCCGGTAGGAAGGAGCCTGGTGTGGCCTGGGGTCCACCGAAGCAGGAGGACGTCTGTGGCAATGGCGGGGGCAGTACTGCCTCGGGGCCCGGTTGTGCGGAACAGTTCTGATCCAAATTGACGTCGCAAAGCTCCATTGCTGCCAGCACCTGCGATTCAATGCACTGCTGCCACTGGAGTTGCCGTTTCGCCTCCTCCTCTGCCAACTTTCGACAGTACTCCTTCTGCTGGCGAATCCGTCTCACCTGCCGAAGCACTCTGAAGACCTTGGAATCTACTCGACTATATCGATCCATCATGTCCATAACCCGCACCAACTGCTTGCTGGCTGCCTCAGAGATCTTGGGTAGGACAGGCTTGCATGAGCAACAGCAGCCCCCACACCCATCACCCACACTGTCGCTCACGCAGGAACAACAGGACTCGCAGCAACGATCAGAACAGCAGCTGCATGGCTTCGTCTTCTTCTTCTTGCATCTACGCGGAGGCACCAGGGGAGTAATAATATTACCCGTCTTTTCGGCCAAGAAACTAGTGCCCGTCTTTGCATCGACCACCTGAAGGACTCGAGATTGAGTAGAAGCCGGTTCGTTGGCTGTTTGCCGCCGACTCGCCAGAGAGCGTACACTCTTTCGTATTTCCTCGATGTCTCTTAGTGTGGATGCACTACTCTTCTGACGCATTGATCGTGGCCTTGGAGGTGTGTACAACGATTGAGCTGCTGATGCCACTGAATGGCTCATTAATGAGGCTCTCATGTCATTCATGCTGCGGATGCTCTCTCGGATTACGGATAGAGTCTCGCGCAAACTTGTGTCTGGAATAAGGGGAGGGGCATCTTCATCGTCAGCAGCCACAGAGTCTGCGCGTGGTACTGAAAGTATAGAATTAGTAGACCTCCTGATCGAGCCACTGCCTGGTTCTGCATACCAGCTGGCGGACTCTCTAGCCTGGCTGTTGATTGACGTCGTATGAGGGTGGATTGTCCACCTGATTGAACTGTTGGCCGGCGCTCCATACAAACTGGTCGGCTCCCTGATAGACCCGTTAACCGAGGGTGCATACAAACTCCTTGGTTCCCTGTCCAGATCGCCAACTGATCCCGCATACAAACTGGTCGGCTCTCGGATCGAGCCGTTGACCGAGGCCTCATACAAACTGGTTGGCTGCCTGTCTGGATCGCCAATTGACCCCGCATACAGACTGGTCGGCTCTCTGATCGAACCGTTGACCGAGGTCCCACGCAGACTGGTAGGCTCCCCAACTGAACCGTTGACCGATGGTGCATACAAACTAGTCGGCTCCCTAACTGAACCATTGACGGAGGCCTCATGCAGACTGGTCGGCACCCTGATCGACCCACTAACAGATGGTGCATACAAACTGGTCGGATCTCTGATCGAGCCGTTGATCGAGGCCCAATGCAGACTGGTCGGCTCTCTGATCGAGGCCTCATGCAAACTGGTCGGCTCCCTGATCGAGCCATTGACAGATGGTGCATACAAACTGGTCGGATCTCTGATCGAACCGTTGGTCGAGGCCCAATGCAGACTAGTCGGCTCTCTGATCGAGGCCTCATGCAAACTGGTCGGCTCCCTGATCGAGCCATTGACAGATGGTGCATGCAAACTGGTCGGTTCTCTGATCGAGCCGTTGATCGAGGCCCCATGCAAACTGATCGACTCCCTGATAGAACCGCTGACAGATGGTGCAAACAAACTGGTCGGTTGCCTGATCGAACCACTTGTTGACGCTGCGTGAAAACTAGTCGGCTCTCTGAACGATTCGTTAATAGAAGCTGTGGGCTCCAAGAATGAACTATTAACCGGAGCTACACGCAGACCAGTAGACTCCCTCGTCGAAATGTTGGCAGAACTCGCATGTAAATCAGTGTATTCCCTCATTGAACCATTGGGGGCGACTTCCTGAAAACTGGCAGATTCCCTCATCGAACCTTTGACGGACGCTGTATTCAAACTGGCAGGCTTCCTGCTCAATCCGTTGACAGAGGCTGGATGCGAACTAGTAGACTTCCTGACTGATCCGTTGGCAGTGACTGAATGTAAACTGGTAGGCTTCCTAACCGAATCGTTGGCGGAGTCTGCATGCAAACTCGTAGGCTTCCTGATCGAACTGTTTACCGAGGCTGTATGCAAACTAGTAGACTCCCTCTTTGAGCTATTGACCGAGTCCGCATGCAACCTGGTGGAATCCCTCGTCGAACCGTTGACGGATGCTGGATGCAAACTAGAGGGTTTCCTCCTCGAACCGTTGATCGAGTCCGCATGTAAACTAGCAGATTCCCTCCTTGAGCTGTTGATGGAGTCCGCATGCAACCTGGTGGAATCCCTAGTCGAACCGTTGATGGAAGGTGAATGCGAACGAGTAGATTCCCTTAATGGACCGTTTACGGATTTGGAAGACTTCCTGATCGAATTTCGGACTGACGCTTCATCTGTCGGCATCAGATAACTTCCACGAAGCGTCACGCTGTTTCTACTTTCGTGCAAGGTGTCCATGAATTCCGCATTTGGATCTTCCTCCAGGCGGGCCGTATGATTTGCACCGGAGGACAGACGTCCTCTATTACTGCTAATCGTCGTAATTGGCTTCTCTTCATCCTCCTCCACCTCCTCCTCCTCCAGCTCCTCCTCCTCTTCGGCATCTTGTGAGAATATCTGGCTTTTCTTTTTCACCTGGGTAGAACGCCTCGTTTCCTGAGCAATGGTCGTCTCTGATGGACGAACGGAAGAGGGCATCCTCTGTGAACGTGCGCTTTTCCTTGCGGCTTGAACATCTTCGGGCCCAGTGCTATAATCTTCTTCATGTATCTCTGGGGGAGGTATGTTGTACTCTTCGATAGGGTCACCCTGCTCCTCTGACGCCTCGTCGTCATCGTTCGGCTCGCTTTCAACCGACTGTGCAATGTCATTACTGTCGTCCGTAAGGTTGGAGGAGTTCGCGCCGGACGTCTCCCATTCGGTCTTCATGACTGCTGACGTGCATGGGAAGTACGAATATCGATCAGTCAGTTTTATACAACCTCGTGGTGGTGGCATCTGATTCGTCGACCACCACGATTTTTGATTGGTCTGATCTCAAGGTCACGAGGGGATCGCTTCAGCGGAGGACATGACGCGGTGGTGTGCGAGACAAGCAAATGGGAGGAATACTCCCTTACTAGCCGTTTTGACCGAGCGGCACAGTTTTGGCGGGAGCCTCTATGAGGCATCAGAATTCTGAAGCACAAAAACGAGTTAATGACACCTTAAAAGATCGAAATAATTCATCTGACCCAGTTATGAGGTAGAAGTAAGGTAAGTGGTCGAGCGGCCGCATCAACAGGTGTCCTTGCCATACAATCGGCCGAAATTTAAGACCATAATGGATTAAGTATTGGCTTAGTACCACTAGGAATGTGCCTCTAATTATCAAAAATCACGCTTTCAGAACGACCTACATGACAAGTTTCGCACTGTTTGCCTTTAATCGACACGATTTTACTGAAAGTTTATCGTATACATGTGCTTGGTTAAAACTTCAACATAATCGCATTGATACCCATTACTGAAGGGATTTTACAGTCAAACCTGTTAAGCGTCCTTCCGCTTAGGATAAGCCAAGCAGCTTTTTCTCACAGACATCGTCCTTTTAATCGAGTGTCAGACGGTGGATTAAAAAAACTATCGTATTTTTTCGTAAAAATAACATAACCTGTTGTTCTCCAAAGCTTCACTGTCAAGCTATCGGTATCAAGGGCAAGCGACGACATTAGGTACGGTCTGTATGCGAGTCTTCTAGTTAAGTACATCGACTGGGATCCGAATGAAGAAGGCCGCACTCAGGAAGATATCTCAAGGCATTCAGTGAGGACGATTGAGGTCGTCTGGGCGCATTCTTCATGGCAATTCCACGAATTCATTTCTGGTGACCTAATTTCGACACCGTTCATAATTGTAGGCAACGGAAGGAGATCGGTTTGTAGTAGAACGGCCGAAGGGCGCAAACATCTAGCTTCGCTGTCAAACAGATTCTCATCAAGCGCACCCACAAGCGGCGACTTTGTGTCCAGATAGATTACATTCACTGACTGTCACATAGACGCACACACAAACACAGCAGTTCGACCGCCGAGGCCAACGAAGTCCACCGTGTGCTCCACAACACGATGAGAGCAGGGACAGTGACTTATGCCTGGATTAGTATATAATGATGGTAGACTTTCGCTTAATCTACTGCACTCTCTCTTCTCCCCCACCTAGGCCCGTTTCCATGGCTGGAGGCGGGAGAGGGCACAGGTGGCTGGCGCGGCCCACCGTGTACTACACAGCAAGGTGCAGTACAGTAGATGTGCTAACTCATGAAATGCCAACCGAAATTTCGAAATGCGTTCTCGTTTTGAAAAGATAAATTAAACAATATTGTAAAACTAGCCACGATGCAGCATAAATCGATAATGATCCAGTTACCTCAGGCTATCGGCTTTCGAATGAACTTATTTTCGGCTGCATGCAAGATCTATACTCTGGAAAAATGACTACTTAAGTAGTATGCAATTTTTTCATTGATTTTCGATGCCCTTGAAAATTCCATTATATTTCATGGAAAACATGCATAAAAATATTCATTCTTTTACTTCGGTAGAAAATCACGTCTTCTTCCAATTTCATACTCAAAAAAGAGTGTTATTCAGTTTAAAAAAACGTTTCTAATTCCTGAATAATTTTGAACTCGACCTGCTGTTACACTTGCATACAGGATTTCAAAACTACATGCTGTATATTTTCCGTGTACGGAAAACCATGCATTTTTCTACGGTGTTAAGAGGAGACCATATGAGGTTCATAAAATTAAGCAGTGGATTTGAGCAATATTGTTAACTTTACAAGCCGCATTCGTAAATGCAGATACGGGGCGTTTCATGAACGGCCATTTAACGGTATTAAAAATCTCACAATTAGAAACTTTTTTAAAACCGAATTATACTCTTCTTTTGAGTATGAAATTGGAAGAAGACATGATTTTCAACCGAATAAGTAAAAGAATGAATATTTTATGCATGTTTTCCATGAAATATAATTAAATTTTAAAGGGCATCGAAAATCAATGAAAAAATTGCATACTACTTAAGTAGTCATTTTTCCAGAGTATAGATCTTGCATGCAGCCGAAAATAAGTTCATTCGAATGCCGACACCCTGCGGTAACTGGATCATTATAGATTTATGCTGCATCTTGACTAGTTTTACAACACTACTTAATTTATCTTTTCAAAACGAGAACGCATTTCGAAATTTCGGTTGACATTTCATGAGTTAGCACATCTACTGTATATACGGTGACATGCGTGTGAATTAGTTTATAGTGATAGTGGACGTGCAAAACATCTACTGCGCCCTCTTCTCCCCACTCCCCACCTGGATCCGGTGTCGAGGCAGAGTCAAGAAGACCGGAGGCGGAGGCGGAGGCGGAGGAGGACGCAGGTGGCTGTCACGGCCGCACCCACACCCAGGCGTGCTACCATACCTCCTGATCCACAACAAACACTTGACCAGGATTTTAACCAACAATATCATCACAACGGGTCAGAAAAACGGGGATGACTGGGCAGCTATGCATGCGGCCTGTATACCCAGCGGGGACGCAGATGCATCTACCGCCAGAGAACCAGGTGTCAGGGAACTGCCAGTGTACACCAGGCTACGAGGGCCACGGTTTGCTGATCAAAGCAAAGGGTTAAACGCAACCCTGAATTTGACCTGGGCCATCACCCTTCAAAGGCCAAGTTACCAGTCAGCAGTAAACTGAGAGGCACTTTATACGACAGTTCGAACGTCGACTTTGACGATGTTCAGCGTGTGCTGCACAGCAGGGTAAAGCAGGAACGGGGACTTGTGTGGGAATCACTTTATAGTGTTAGCAGACTTGCGCAGCATCTACCGCACTCCCTTCTCCTATTTCCCACGCGGACCCGATGTCAGAGTCAAGAAGACCGGAGACAGGCGAGGGTGTACGTGTATGACACGGTCGAGCCCGCACCTTGGCGCTCCACTCCACGCCCCTGGCCCACACAGTAACTGATCAGGTTTTCAACATCATCCACGGTGGGGTGGGCGCCAGGGGTCCCAGTGTGCAAGACGTCTGCCGGCAACCGAGTCAGTCACTGCACCCCTAAATTTTGGCATTTTTTATGGTGCGCTTTCCGATAACGCATTCCAGAATCAGATATGGCCCCCTGATTGGTCCAGCGCATCTACCACACACACACACTTATAGGCACACGTGGGTGAACGCAAAAAGGCGATAAGGCACCAAATTTTAGGCCAGGAGACGGCGATATGCCGATCAAGCACAATTCAAGACAATGAATGTATGTACATGGGTCGCACGATCATACCATACTTGACGGCACAGATACTAGCCAAAATCCCATACACGTATTCCGCCGATGTTCTGCCGTTGCATGGCACAGCTGCGAGGAATTCGACTCATTAGTGGGTCTCCCAGCGTTCCCCATGTGCTTTCTGGTAGATGCTCGTACTTTTAAATTTCATCTTTTTATTTTCCCCAAAAATTAATCGATAACTCCGATTAGATCGGCGTGTTTGCGACTTATGGACTCAGATTGGATTTGAAATACAGGGATCGAATGAACGTAAATAAAGTAACACTCAGCGCGTAGTAATCCCCGGAATCAGTGAACTCAAAGCCAATCTTATACTCATCCGATTGACTCTGCACAGAACACGAAGGGATTGACAGAAGCGGCGGTGGTCGTTGGCTTCTGCCGGAAGACGAGTGCGCAGACCATGTAGAGGCGGTGGAGAGGCCATAGCCCTGGGGCACTCGGTTGGATGCCTGCATTCTCTTTGAGGTCATCAGGGATGGAAACAGAGGTCTTATGGCCGTAGGGAACTGCTCGAGTAGCGAGCTTCCAGTAAAAGGGATGAGTGGACCTCGGACTGCAACGTCCATATGCAAGTCAGGGGCCAGTGGGTACAAGAACTGATTCATCTCCTCGGGAGTTTCAGCGGAAATGAGATAAGTGCGATCCTCGTCCATCTAGTTCGTTTTGATTCCAAAAACATTTTGGCTGTTCAAAGATTCCGTTTCTCCGTAAACACAATGACATGACTGCAAGTCAACTGAACTGTTTGCGGTCGCGGTCCTTGAAATAATGTAAGGTCACTCTCGTCTTCCCGGGTTTTCGTAATTTATACAACGGGCAAAAGCTCTTCTTCCAATTCTTTTGAGGGTGTGCAGCCAGGCTTGCCTCTTCACGGCCGACTGATGTCCGCGTAGGCGTGCAGAAGCCGACTTTCCAGTTTGACCACAGTACACTGCATTGCAGTTGTCGCACGAAATCTTGTAGGTGACCTCTTTCTTATCCAACTGGCCAACCTTTTCCTTAGGGTGCACGAGCTGGTTGCGTAATGTGGTCGTCGTTTTGTGCGCCACATGTAGTTGATGTTCCCTCGGGTGTCTTGCAAAGAGTTCAAGCCCTGCTTTTGTGCACGGAAGTGTTATCATAGTTCCCTGTTTGGGTGCTTGATCGGGGCAGCCTAGTTCCTTGTCTTTTTCCTTTGACTCCTGCTGTCTTATGCACCAGCGTAAAAACCCTCTAAGGCACACACTTTAGGAAAAGAGTCTGAACAAATAATTAAGTTATTTTTGGTTACTACTGCTGTCAGTCTGAACAAATAATTTAGTCATGTTTGGTAAGTTTCTTTGCCAGAACAATGAGTTTTCACCCGATTAAGTAGGTTGATGAGCAGTAGGCTAGTTGCTCTTGTAATGTAGGACAACTCCCGCATAAGTTTCTTTGCGGTAGACTGATGTGTGAAATGTCCCGTCAGTCAATCGCTGTACGTGGATGTCAGGAAAAGGGAGTTTGTTGAAAACCTTTTTTTGAGCTTAAACGAGATTACTGGTAATGTTGAGTCAGTAACACTTTGGAGCATCACCAGGTGATCCCTTTTAACGACAACAGAATTGTTATCTACACAACACACCCATAATTTGAGGTTAACTAACGGTAGGGCCGAAGCTTCCAAGTTGAGCATCTTGATTTTAGCAAGAAAATCGAAGATAGGTGATCCCTCGGGAGCTCCCTTCAGGTGTTGGTAGCATTCATATTTAAATGGGAAGTTCGTCTTCAGACAAAGGTCCAAGAGTTCAAGGAAAGCAGGTATAGGGACGTCCGTGTCATGGGACTATGGACGTAAAGAGAGAGATGGCATCGAAGGAAACCATTATCTCGTCAGTTGCAATTGATAGTCCTCGTAGTTTGTTTAGAAACTCTGTAGACTTCTTCATTGAGGTCTCACAGTCTTGTGTCAATTAATGGAATTTCTAGAATAGCCAGTTGGAGATCTTTTAATTGAGAATCGAGCCTTTAAGGTGCACGAGTTGCTGGCGAACATTTACTTCTGGTCTGTGAGCGACGCCAACCCTAAATTCGCTCACCAGCCTAGCGAATTCTTCCGACACACCCGCTGTGTGGCAGGTCGGCCGTCGTGCGCTACGATGTCTACCGTGTGCTCCACAGCACAATGGCTTGCGCAGCATCTACCGCGCTCTCTCCTCCTGTGGCAGTTCGCGTCTCCTCGCTCTCCGTCTTTGTCACGCTGCCCTCCTGTCCGCCTCACACTCCTTGTCGATGCGCTGCTGGGATGCGCGAGTGCTCGAAGCCAATCAACGCTGTCCCCACTCTGATTGGCTGGCCGACGTGGAGACAACGATGGGCGCACACACGCGCTGATACAACACCTCGAAGGCGGACACAGACAACAGCTTGCTTGGAGCGCGCTTGTGGCAACTGCCTACAGAGTCCTTGTGTACGCACTTTCTCAGGCAGTAAAGGTTGTCCAAATCAAACCGTCTTCCCTGACTTTTGATTGGGAATCTTTATCTTGTCGACCACACGACTATCGACAATTAGTGACTCCTTACGGACAGCAATCTTCGTTCTTCCTAATCTACGACGAAGTCAGGCGTTGATCATGGACAATTTTCCACCAGAAGTGCGGCATATTTTAGCACCCGCCTTCGGCATTCTTTCGGCGACGCAACTTACTCAGATGGCTAATCGGCTTATGGTGATGCACGGTTTTTCCAAGCCGTCTATTTCATCACTCTCAACTCCCTCAACTCCTCCTGCGTCTCCCATTTCACAGTTAGAGATCGAGCTCAACAAGCTGGCCGATGATATTGTCGCTCTCCAGAAGCAGACAGTTTTTGCCTCCTTTCGGAGCCAACCGCCGCCGTCCACCCCGCATGTCCAGTCTTCTCATTCAGCCCGTCCAAACGCAGCTGCCACCTGCTGGTACCACACTACTTTCGGTGCAAAAGCCCGTCGCTGCGTCTCGCCTTGCTCCTTCACCTTCAAGCAGAGCTAACGGGTAAAACCTGTCAGCCCGAAGGTCAGTGCCACCAATCTTCCCGACAGCTCTAACCCTGGTCACACATTTTACGTCTGCGACACCCGGAGTGGCAGACGTTTCTTGGTTGACACTGGTGCCCAGCTAAGTGTCATTCCACCCACACCAGCTGATCGTCGGTGCCCCAATCCCGGTCTTTTCCTACAGGCCGTCAACATATCGCCGATTACCACATTTGGCACCTGTTCCCTCTCTCTGGACATAGGTCTCCGGCGTCTCTTCCCTTGGGTCTTCGTCGTTGTTGACATCCCCTGTGCAATTCTCGGTGCAGATTTCCTCGCCGCTTTCGATCTTCTGGTCGACTGCCGTCAGTCGCGTCTACACGACAAGACTACCAACCTCACCGTCCGGGGTATCTCTTCCTCCGACGCCTCCCGTCATCTTGCCGTCTTAAACCCTGAGCCCGACAATCCATTTCGGCACCTCCCCGCCAAATACCCCGGCCTCACTCGTTCCAACTTCAACGTTTCTGTTCCACCACATGACGTTGTTCACCACATTCGGACCACCGGCCCTCCCGTGTTTTCTCGCCCCCGCCGTCTCGTGCCTACATGTTTTGCTGCCGCCAAGGCCGAATTCGAGCATATGCTTCAAACGGGCATCATCCGTCAGTCTGAAAGCCCATGAGCCTCACCCCTCCACATGGTTCCAAAGGCCGCCACTGGTGACTGGCGCCCCTGCGGTGATTTCAGGGCCCTGAACAACGTTACTGTCCCGGACCGCTATCCTGTCCCACATCTTAAGGATTTTGCCGGTGCCCTATTCGGCAAGTCTGTATTCTCGAAGATCGATCTGGTCCGTGCTTTCCACCAAATTCCCAAAGCCCCAGAGGACGTTTCGAAGACGGCCGTTACCACCCCCTTTGGCCTCTTTGAGTTCCTGCGCATGCCGTTTGGACTTCGCAACGCCTCCCAGACCTTCCAAAGGTTTGTAGACAGAGTGCTTCGCGGCTTACCATTTGTCTACGCCTATATCGACGACCTTCTGGTAGCCAGCTCCACCACCGAAGAACACATGGAACATCTTACAACGGTGTTTGACCGCCTTCAACAATTTGGCGTTGTCCTCAACCCGTCCAAGTGCGTCTTCGGTGTGCCCTCACTAGAATGTCTCGGTCATCTGGTCGACTCCCACGGCATTCGGCCTCTTCCCTCAAAGGTTGCCGCCATTCGGGACTTTTCACCCCCTACCTCGAAGCGTCAGTTGCAACGGTTTCTTGGTATGGTGAACTTCTATCGCCGGTTCCTACCGAACTGTGCTGATCTCATGTTGCCGCTCACCAACATGCTTTCTGGTCCCAAAGGTCCCCTCGAGCTGACTGGTGAAGCACTGACTGCTTTTGATAGAATCAAGAATTCCCTTGCTGATGCCACCTTACTCACACATCCCGCTCCCGAAGCTCAGCTGTCTCTGATAGTAGATGCTTCGACCGTAGCCGTAGGTGCAGTCCTTCAACAACACCTTGCTGGTTCGACTCAACCACTTGCCTTTTTCTCCAAAAAGCTCTTACCAGCTGAGACACGCTACAGTACCTCTGGCCGTGAACTACTTGCCATTTACCTGGCTGTGAAGCATTTCCGGCATTCCCTTGAAGGTCGTGACTTCACCGTTTTCACTGACCACAAACCGTTGACTTTTGCACTTCGTTCCCACACTGACAAACTAAACCCCCGGGAAATCCGCCAACTGGACTACATCTCACAGTTTACCTCAGATATCCGCCACATCGACGGGTCACGCAATGAGGTGGCTGACGCACTGTCCAGGCCCTCCATTGCTCATCTTCAGCTTTCACCCGGGATAGACCTCGCTGAGATGGCCGCTGAACAACGCCGTGTCGGTCCACCCTGTGATGAGGATGTTTCCGGACTCCAGCTTCAGGAATTACCACTGACAACTGGCAACGGCACCATCTTATGCGACGTATCCACCCCTTCCCATCGTCCATTTGTGCCACCATCTCTCCGCCGCAAAGTTTTCTCCTCCCTGCACAATCTGTCTCACCCTGGGAGTCGAGCAACCGACAAGCTGGTTTCCGACCGCTTCGTCTGGCCTGGTATGCACAAGGACCTCAAGGCATGGACACGGGCTTGTAGTGCCTGTCAACGGAGCAAGATCCAGCGGCACAACAAGGCCCCCATTGGCACCTTCCCTGGCCCTGGTTCAAGGTCCAGCCACGTTCACCTGGACATTTTAGGCCCCCTGCCTCTGTCCAATGGTTGTTCCTATCTCCTCACCTGTGTGGATCGGTTCACTCGGTGGCCTGAAGCAATTCCCCTGCCTGACATTGCTGCTCCAACGGTGGTCAAGGCTCTTCTCAGTCGTTGGGTTGCTATCTTTGGTGCACCCTCCACAATCATGACTGACCGTGGTGCCCAGTTTGAGTCTAATCTCTTCCAGTCTTTACTCTCCTTTTTAGGCTGTACTCGCATCCGCACTACAGCCTATCATCTGGCAGCCAACGGGATGGTCGAGCGGTTTCACCGCCAGCTGAAAGCCTCCCTACGAGCCGCGGCCGATCTGGAGAACTGGACGGACCACCTTCCCCTGGTCCTCTTGGGCATCCGCTCCGCTCTGAAGCCGGACCTTGATTGTTCCGCAGCTGAACTGGTGTTCGGTGCCACCGTCCGACTCCCCGGTGAGATGATCTCGCTAACCCCGCAAGGTGCAGTTGAGGATCCCACCAACCCCCTGCATCGCCTCCGGCAGTTTATGCGGACACTTTCCCCGGTTCCTCCCAGGTCCTCCGCCTCTCCGTCTTATCTCGAGAAAGACTTGGCGACATGCTCTCACGTCTATCTCCGATGTGATCGAGTCCGCCGGCCCCTGGAACCACCCTACGATGGCCCCTTCCGAGTTATCTCTCGTGGGACGAAGAACTTCCGCATCCAACGCGGCACTCGCGAGGAGGTCGTGAGCGTGGACCGTCTCAAAGCTGCCGTCCCGGACATTCCTCCGGATGAGCCCTGTGGTCCCCTACCCCCTGCTCCGCCTCCCCGACCCTCTATCCCTCCGTCCCGTATATTTCCTCTGCCCTCATGTCCGCAACCCACAACTGCAACTTCCCCTTCATCAACCAACAACACTGTAACCGCGAGCCATACTCACTCTACTCCTGTGCCCCTGTATATATCACCCGTAGTGGACGCCATGTTCATTTTCCTGACCGTTTAGTTATTCCTGTTTTTTTAGACATCAACAGTTCCTTCGGCATCGCTACGCGCCTCCTTCGGTCTAGCAGGGGGTATTGTGGCAGTTCGCGTCTCCTCGCTCTCCGTCTTTGTCACGCTGCCCTCCTGTCCGCCTCACACTCCTTGTCGATGCGCTGCTGGGATGCGCGAGTGCTCGAAGCCAATCAACGCTGTCCCCACTCTGATTGGCTGGCCGACGTGGAGACAACGATGGGCGCACACACGCGCTGATACAACACCTCGAAGGCGGACACAGACAACAGCTTGCTTGGAGCGCGCTTGTGGCAACTGCCTACAGAGTCCTTGTGTACGCACTTTCTCAGGCAGTAAAGGTTGTCCAAATCAAACCGTCTTCCCTGACTTTTGATTGGGAATCTTTATCTTGTCGACCACACGACTTTCGACACTCCTACCGATCTGGGCCCGGCGTCTTGACAGCTTCAAGAGGGATTCAAAGGCGGGATCCGACGCAGGCGACTGGCGCGACGGGGGGCCTGTACCTGGGCCTGTCGTCGCACCCTCAATGCTGGCATTTGTGATGGGTACGCACTACCAATAACACCTTCCGGACCCTGACCTAGTCACCGGGTCGACCCGTTTTAGGTGGCAAGCATCATCGCATACAACCCTACATGTTCATATCGACCCAACTGTGAAAAACTCGGCGCCTCGGTGGGATTCGAACCCACGCAGTAAGGGGGAAGGCTTTAGTACAGCCAACGCTCTAACCACTTGAGCTACGAGGTCCCGTCGGCCGACGCGAGTTTAATCACATTTGGGTCAATATGAATTATTCAAAAGCTGCCGAAATATCTGTGAATTACGTGAGTCTGGTAGTCATCTGGTGGAGTCTAGGTGAATTAATTAGGAAATCCCGCCTGGGCAGTCAAGTTACTGTATCAGATTTGGTGGATTCCAGACGTTGCAGTAGGTTGGGCGGGTAACTTGACCCAAATGTGATTAAACTCGCGTCGCCCGGCCGGGCCTCGTAGCTCAGGTGGTTAGAGCGTTGGCTGCGCTAAAGCCTTCCCATTACTGCGTGGGTCCGAATCTCACCAAGGCGCCTCGGAGTTTTTCACAGTTGGGCCAAGATGAATTATTCAAAATCTGCCAAAATACCTATAGGTTAGATCGCAGTTGGTAGCCAGGAATGGGGAGGGGGACAGCTAATTCCCTGTCGTACGGGAATGGTGGGAAAAGTGGTTATAAGTGTGGAGTAAATGGAAGGGCTGGTAGAGGAATGCTGGAGTTTCTGGGTAAAGATAAAGGTAACAAGAAAGGTGCTGTGAAATTTTAAATAGGTGCAACAATGGCAGAAGTTTAAACCCTACGCTTAACCCTAAAATGCAACCCCGACCGCAAACGTAAAGCCTAACCCTAAGCCTCAAAACCGAAAACGTAACCAAAATCCCAAAACCCAACGCTAACACAAAACCTAGCCACAATCATAACCCTAACCCTGAACCTAACCCTAACTTTAGCCCTAGCTCCAACCTTAAGCCGAACCCCAACCTTAACCCTAACCTTAACCGTAACCCTAACGGGAAACTAAACCCTAACCCTAGTACTGAAACCTGACCCTAAAACGCAAACCCTAATCCTAAAACTTAACCTACGCCTAAATCTAACCCTCACTTAAACCATCAGCCTGACCGAAACGGGCGACATGCCTAACTCAGGAAGATGGGCTAACTCATGAAATGTCAACCAAAATTTCGAAATGCATTCTGGTTTCGAAAAGATAAATTAAGTAGTGTTGTAAAACTAATCATGGTACAGCACAAATCTATAATGATCCAGTTACCTCGGGGTGTCGGCTATCGAAAGAACTTATTTTCAGCTGCATGTAAGATCTATACTCAGCAAAAAATGACTACTTAATTAGTATGAAATTTTTTCATTGATTTTCGATGCCCTTGAAAATTCAATTATATTTCATGGAAAACATGCATCAAATAAGCATTCCTTTATTAATTCGGTAGAAAATCATGCCTTCTTCCAATTTTATACTCAAAAGAAGAGTATAATTCGGTTTTAAAAAAGTTTCTAATTGTGAGATTTTTTAATACCGTTAAATGGCCGTTCATGAAACGTCATGTATCTGCATTTACGAATGTGGCTTGTAAAGTTAACAATATTGCTCAAATCCACTGCTTTATTTTATGAACCTCATATGGTCTCCTCTTAATACCGTAGAGAAATGCATGGTTTTCCGTACACGGAAAATATACAGCTTGTAGTTTTGAAACCCTGAATGCAAGTGTAACAGCAGGTCGGGTTCAAAATTATTCGGAAATTAGAAAAGTTTTTTAAAACCGAATTATACTCTTCTTTTGAGTATGAAATTAGAAGAAGACGTGCTTTTCTACCGAATAAGCAAAAGAATGAATATTTTTATGCATGTATTCCATGAAATATAATTGAATTTTCAAGGGCATCGAAAATCAATGAGAAAATATCATGCTTCTTAAGTAGTCATTTTTTGCAAAGTATAGATCTTACATGCAGCTGAAAATAAGTTCTTTCGAGAGCCGACACCCTGGGGTAACTGGATCATTATAGATTTATGCTGCATCATAATTAGTTTTACACCACCACTTAATTTATCTTTTCGAAACGATAACGCATTTGGAAATTTTGATTGACATTTCATGAGTTAGCACATCTACCGTACTGATAACAAGTACGTACGTCGGCAGTATCAACGCATAATGTCTGGCTACCAACTGCGATCTTTCCTACCTATGAACCCTACATGTGTTTACCCACACTACTGAATTTTTCATGACTTGCGCGTTTAAGCGTATGGAATCACCAACATAACAAGGTTGGCCCATTCGACATGACCGGATATTGTGTTTTGCGACGGAATTTTTTGTTTAGAAAACAACAAACAGTCTCCTAGCAATGCTCTGGCGACAGTCGATAAGAGGGGGACTACTGCAATGATGATTTTTACTGTATTTTCAGTCTTCAATCTGGAGGCTCGACCGGGATTCAGGGTATGTTTAGCAAACGATGGCAAATCCGTCAGAAACAATCATTCCGTCCCCTATGCCTTTGTTGTCAACACATCTGAGTGAGACGATCCACACAGTCCATGGTGAATCGCAGAGTACACAGCTATAGAGTCAGTTAGTTTTCTGCCGCAGATCGTGGGCCTTCCTCCAGCTAATTATTAGAGGCGCAGACTGTATTAAATGTCCAGAAATTTATTTGAGGTAAAATGGAATAAAATCAGAGAAAGTAAACGATTTTCACACAAAACTGACAGAGTCGCTCACAGGCATGAAGTCTTGGGCATTATAAATTTAACAGAACGCGGCTGAGGCCTCGGCTGTACCTCCTCCACCTCCACACAGTAGACCGATTTTTCCATTTCAGAACAGTCGTCCGGTTGATCTTCACCATCTCTCTTATGCACCAGCGTTATCGTAAATGCTTTCGAGTTGCCATCAGTGCCCCCTACCCGAGGACCAGGCCAACCGGGTCGGAATGGTCCCCAGGGGGACCAGGGGGGGAACAGGAGGCCAGGCGGTCTTCTGTACCCAGGAGGAACACTAGGAAAGGTGAACGGAGGACGTCCGTATGCCGGAGGAAATGATGGTTGTGGTGGTGGTGGTGGTGCTCGAGGTGGAAGGTGAAACGAGGGTGGTGGGCGCTGTTGAAACGAGGCCCAAATCGGTTCCTGATAGACAGCAGAGGCTGCCTGGTTGATTGGGGTTGAAAATTGTCCTGGAGAGCCTTGCTGGGGCGAATAGACCGGAAGAGGAACCTGTTGTTGTGGTGCTGCTGATGGTAGTGGCGGCGGCGGCGGCGGCGGTGGCACCTGCAGTGATGGTGATGCTGAAGAAATTACGGACGCCGCCTCCGGGTCCATCTGTGGATGTGTGGCGTCTGCGGTTGGAGGTGGGCCCTGCGAACCCGGAGGCTGGAGAGGAGCCACCGAATTCGCGCCTGAGGAGCTGGGAGGCGGAAGAAGGGGTGATGGAGTATTTTGTTGGAAGGTCGTCGTCGCCTGGGCAGACAAATGAGGCGGAGGCTGTGAAAATGCCGCGAGTGAAGGGGAAGAATGAGTAAGGAGAGGGAAAGTCAAAGGTGAAACAGGACCAGGAGTAGGAGGAGGAGGGCCAGAGAGAATTTGAAAGTTGGCCGGGACTGCATTCGGAGACGGAGAGACAAGATATTCAGGTGGAAACCAATAGGGGGCGCATTCCATAGGGTCGCTCTGTGGCAAAACATCACAAAGGTCCTTCTCCTTCTCTCCCTCCTCCTCCAGCCAGTCAAGCGCCTCGGCGGTCTTTTCTAGGGACTCGAGGAAATGGATCAAACTCCGGCAGGCTTCACCGCAATCAGAATTCTTTTCCGAAGAACAGTCTTTTTCCTCTTCTTCGCATGCCTTGCACTTCTTCTGCCTTTGCGTTTTATCATTTGGCTTGCATGGCCGACGCTGACAGGGACACTCCTTTCTCCGCCGTTTCTTTCTCTTCGCACATTCCTGCTTCTTCTTCTTCTTTTCTTTTTCCAGGTTTTTGCATTTTCTTTGACATTTCGCTTCCCTGCGCTTTAGGCACTTCAGGGCTGATCGGATTTCCTTCAGGGTGAACAGAAGACCTGGAATGCAGGCAGTTTCGGGACTGAGGCTTGGAGAAAATTTTTTGCGGCGGTCTTGGAGACTCGCGTTTACGACCTCCAGCGCGCCAAGAAGGAGCCGGTCTGTGGAGGGTAGGCTGTTGACGCGCTTTCTGATTTTCTGAAGTGAGTCCAGGATAGTAGCAGTGGCAGGCACGTATGGACATGGAGGACAGACAGTGCTTATCTCTTTTTTTTCATGCTGGACCTGTTCCAGCGTCTCTTTCGCTTCTGATTTTTCGGGTTTTCTGCGATCGAAACAGTTTTTCATTCACCCCAAAGTTGATTCAGTACCTACGGAAGAACGATTAGATGTGACGATTCGCTGAGGCCATTCACTCTGATGATTCACGCATCAATCGGCGCATCGATCTGGACGCCATGTACACAAATCTCAAAGAAAAATGGAAAAGTTGATAGCCAATCAAAATGTGACGTCAACCCACAGCATCGACTCGCCCTCAGCACTGACAAACAAATATCGATTTTTCGGACATGTTTAAATTTTAACTGTTTTTTCACACTTGCTACACGTCTGACGACGACCTGGGGAACCAGGGTCAAAAATTTACGAAATAAAGTTTGTTCAATTTCCCAAAGGACTCATGTTTCTTCGAAATATCTATCTATATATATATAAATGGAAGGGTTTTTCTGTGTTATAGGTAATCTCCGAAAGTACTGCACCAATTGCGTTGAAATTTGGATACAACACAGCCAGCGCATAGAGCTGGGTTTTTTTTCTGTTCGCTTTTGTAATTATGCTGATTGGATGCCTGTGATGGGTAAAAAACTGGGCCGGTAGGCAAACCACCCACCCTGTAGCAGAAAAAAGGCAACTCTTGGGCTCCACTTAAAACTGTCCCACACTACCCACGTAACCGGGCTGCCACCGCTTCCACTGGGATTCTCGGCCACGACCGGATGCAATTACCACCACCCATTCCTCCCCCCCCCCTCCAGCCTCGGCCAGCGGCCCCTGTCGCAACTTGACCGCAGTCCGCTGGGACAGACATGTGGTCCTCTCGAACACACGTGCACTCCGCTGGTGGCGGTCACCGCCGCAGACATAACTGAACACACCTCCACCCTGCGACAAAATGTAATATGGGCGGCTAGGCAAACCACCCCCCCCCCATCCCCAAAATGACATGCAAGTCTTGGCCGCCAATTGGAGTTGCCCCAATAAGATACTTAGGGATCTGACACTCATTCGTCCGGAATTTCGGGGCGCGACGGGATGCAGTCAACAATTGCCTCGCCCCGGTGGAATTTCCACCGGAATAAAACGGTTCATCGTTTTTCAACTGCAAGGACTTCTACATGACCACACCAGCTTACTGCGTTTGTTTAAAACCGCAATTACCACGATGATATCTGATACGCACAAGACTGTCATTCATGCAGGGAAGGCGCCTGCTGGACAACATGGACGACAATTCAATGTCCCTACTATAGATGAAGTGGCAATTGCTAGGGTCGGAGACCGATTTCAACGTATTGATATTGTTCTTCATTGGCGAAACAGCTAAATGACAAGAGTTGCAGAAACTCATCGACGCTACGCCGCCCTGCAGTATCCATTTACTTTTGGGGATTGTGCCGGTAGATATTACTTCAACTTTAGGATGATAAATCCCGTCAGTGACGAGGTAACGCATAGGAAAGCTGCGCAATTAACTACTACTCCTACCGACTTATGATTCGACAGAACGTAAGTAACTCCCTTTTGAAATGCCGTCAATTGCTTCGTCACTACATTGTGGATATGTATGCAAAAAATCGAAACAGAACGCCTGCTTTTCATTCGCTTGAATCAAACCAAGCTGCACTCTAAAGAACACATTCATTTGCATGATGCAGTTGTAAACGACGGTAATACAACTAACGTTGTAAGACTAACGACTTTGTCATCCACATACACAGACAGTTCACGTCATATGTTCAAGTGCGCTCGAGGTGCAATTGCTTATGTTCGTCAGTACGGGCGTGGAGACCTACTCATTACATTCATATGCAATCTATCCTGGGGAGATATTTATCAGCTCTTGCTTCCTGGACTATCGCCGGTGCAAAGGTATGACATCACAGCACGTGTTTTCGGGAAGAAACTGCAATCGCTGATGGACTTCATGGTAAAATATGGTGTGGTGGGGTCTGTGCGCTGCTGGATGTATTAGCTGGAATGGCAAAAGAGGGGATTGCCCCACGCACATGTCTTGATCTGGCAAGATCACCTACAACGAAATCGACGATGCAATATGTGCTGAATTACCTGACACCGACGTCGACAATGATTTGCATGAAATTGTGATGAAGAATGTGATACATGGATTTTGAGGTGCACTGAATCCCAATTCTCTCTCCCCCCCCGCATGATCGACCGAAAATGCTCTAAGAGATATCCTCGGGCATTCGCATGCAACATGCGACTTTGTGCGCCATTGCATGAGGCGTGAGTCTAAACACAAAGGTACTTCGAACAATACGGCCACCCAGACACCAAAAACATTCATCCGGCGGACTCTCCCATGCGTGAAAAATGTATCTGAGCTCGTCAAAAGACAGCTGGAAAAGCATCAGATACAGGTAGCACACCAACCGGCAAACACCTTGCCTACACAGCTTGTACACCCTAAGAACAGGGTTGGCTATGTAGATTGAAAAGGTGTTGCCTACAAGATCCAACGTACCAGTTGTGATGCCGTCTATTGTGGCCAGACGGGGAAATCTATCTCAAACCGTATACATGAGCATCAGTTAGCGGTGAAGAGATGAGATCATCTATCCCAAGTGGCTATGCATACACTGGACAGCGGACACCAATTTGCATGGGAGAACACTCGCATTTTCGGCGCCTGCCCTACAAGGAGAGGCCGTGAATTTCTGGAAGCAATGCAGTCAGATGAGGCATGCATCAATCGGCATATCGATCTAGATGCCACGTACAAGTTTCTCAAGGACAAATGGAAGCGATCGCAGCCAGTCCTGAGGGAATGGTGAAAAACCATCGGTGTGCATTGGCGCAGGCTTTGGTCAAGCACGGAATGGCTTGTTCGACACGGTTAAATAGTTAACTGTTTTTGTACATAACCCAGAATTCTGACGACGAGCTGGAGAACCAGTTTCAAAAATTTACTAATAAAGTTCTTTCGTTTCCCGGAGAACCTGCCATCTTCAAATTTATATACATATCCCGTTCATCATCCCCGAAAGAAGACGAAGAAGAAAAAGAGGCGATTTCATGGGCCACAGTGTATTGATGCTGACGTTTCGGAAACTTCCCCGTTTCCATCCTCAGAGTGGTGGGGTAGCAGTTCCTGCTAGCCTAGAGTTGTCCTGTATCGCCGCCGATCTCGTATTATAGGCATGTCTGACGCACGAACTCTGACCTGCCTTCTGGCTGGCGATTGGCTCTGTGGGCGACCGCTGGCGTACTCGTGTGACCTCTGCCCCCTACCCGACTGTCGTAGTCGCTGCAAGGTCTGTGTGCCCGTGACCTCGCCCTCTATAGCCGGATGGGCTGATCAACTGCCGTTGCATGTGCGAATCACGCTCGGCTGTTTGGGCGCGCCGGTGGGTCGTTTTGGCCCACGATCGCCTACGTGAGGAACGCATTGGAGGCGCCAGCAAAATTACTGAACCCTTCTGGAATTGGCATGCCCATAAACCGTAATCCGCCATCTGACAGCAGATAATGAGACCAAAAGACCTGCTACCGACAAGAGAACAAGCGGCAATGGTCTAAACCATACAGTGCTAAAATTGCAGTGCGAGTTATGTTGTTGAAACGGGCAAATACCTCTGTGCAAGGCTGCACGAGCACCAGCTTGCAGTCAGACGCCAGGATAGACTGCCACTGGCGTATGGCCGCATCAGATCGAAAAAGCACAGTTTCGCCTCTGGAACAAGTTGTGCGCGAAGGTGGTTCCTCGATTGGTACGCCTAACCGATCTTCACCCCGCCTGCTCAAGCCATTCCGGACAAGCCCGATGGCACAAACAGAAGCTTGTCACCATCACAGTAAGGGAAAGAGCAGGTCAGAAGCCACGCTACCGGAGTGAAACATCATCCCATTGACGCACCAAAACGGTCAAACGTGATTCGCCCACGCGGTGACAGCTGATCAGGCTTATGAGTGGAGGGCCCACGGGCACACCGGCTTTGCGACAACTACGACAACCGAGCAGGGGACAGAGGTCACGCGAATCCATCATAAGTCGGCCACACAGACGAAAAAGCCAACTGTCAGCCAGCAGGGCAGAAGCAATCCAAACCATTAGGAACTGACACTTCATCACTTCGATGATAGGAACGAGTAAGTGTCCGAAATTGCTTGCGAATCAATGGTGTTAAGCAACCCAGTTGCTTGCACTTGTTAAAAAAGACTACTATTGTGACTGTGGAGACAGAAATGAACTCCTTTAAACTGGGGAATATGTTTCTTTACTTCAGAATGCAAGGCGGAATGATACGGTTAAGGGAAAATTCTATCTTATAGTGCCCTCACAGCCATGGGGATTGCAGACACTCACCTGAGAAGGATCACAGAAGAGAGCTTTTTAAGATTATCGATTTTTGCCACGAGGCAAACACGTGTTCGTTGAAAGGCCACTTCCAATTAGACAACGTAGCCACGACGTTGACATTCGATACACTCAGAGGAGATTCGGCTCACTTGGGATTTTAACTATGCACGGGAGTCTCGTATATGAATTACCAGAGACTCTGACATCGGTGGCGTTGCCGCCGCAAACCCAAGACAAAGGAATCCGTAGCATTCAGGTGGAGTCCGGTTAGCATGGAATCAACATGCGCCTGACACGCTAGAGAGGACGGGGTACTGCCTATCGCGCCTTGCCCCTATAACGGGCCACACGGTAGATGCGCTGGACCAACGGGGGTGGGGGACACATCGGATTCTGACAGGTGTTGTCGGGACTGCACACCCATGACAACTGCCAACATTCGGGGCGCGGTGGCAGGCCCAGTTGCCGGCTCACGTCGCTCAAGCTGGGGTCCCTGTCGCCCGTCCATTGTTGTCGTTGATTAAAATCCTGGTCAAGCGTTTGTTGTGGACCAGGGGTGTGGTGGTACGCCTAGGTGCAGGCTCACGCCCTGTCAGCCACCCGCGCCCTCTCCCACATCCGATCTTTTTGACTTGGTCATGACACTGGGTTCAGGTGGGGAAGGGGGTAGAGAGTACGGTAGACGCTGTGCAAGTATGCTATTGCTGCAAAAAAATCGCGCGCTAGTTGCCGCCCATGCGCTCACCCTTGTAGCGGGCAGCCATCATGACCGGTCTGGCGTCACTGTTCAAGACCTCGCTGCCTCAAGGTCATTCGCCCCTTGCAGCGAACCGTTCCAAACGCGCTGACCTGAAGCCGCTCGACTGACTTTCGCTCGAACATAATTGCGTCCTCGCAGTGTCGCGGCTACCCATGCGCCACTTGAACGCGCCACTCCCTGCAACCGCAACCTAAGCCACTGGAACACCACCCCTCGGTAAATGCAACAGACACTGACTGGACACCACTTGAGCTTGGCCCACGAGCCTACAAAAGCGGCCGCCACCACTATCTCAGAGACTCTCAGGCATGACTGGACGCAGTCAACACCAGCCCTGGCTTCGCCAGTGGCCACTGCTGCCTGCGAGGCCAACTCCGGGTTCTGTGCACAATAAACCCCTCATTCTGGTGCCTTTTGCCTTCTCATTACGATTTGGGGCCCGACCTGGTGGTTGTAGAGCTCAAAGCACTTATTCTCACTGCTGTGCCGCTGTATTCTGCTGTGGAGCCTACGGTGGACATCGTTGGCAACGTCGGCCGAACTCCCGTCTATCCCACCAGCACACTCCTTCATTTTAATCCTCAGCGCCTTGGTCTTTACCCTGAAGCCCGATAGAAGCAGATGGGTAGTCGGCAGAGATAAACCTTTCCCGGTTATAATCAAATCGACTCGCTTGTGAGCTGTCACAGCATTTCAAAAAGCGTGGTTTTGTTGGATGCCTGGTCCTCGAGTCCAAATCGGACCCCCGAATAAGCAGTCGTTCAGTTCGAATCTAGGTCCCTGATAGTTTTTTCCAACCCTTTGAGACCGTCCGAAGGCACTAAAGCAGCTATTAAAGTTGTGCAAAGACTTAACCACTAGCCAAAGGGGCTCATAGACTGGATGTTGGTGCGATTAAGGGGCGGTCTGATTGTTTTTTAAAATTTATGTCTCTGAGAAAGTAAAGGACGATCGGGTCAGTTTTCGTGCCCAGAAGTAAACGTGAGAACAGTCGCACAACCGCGGTCCACTCTGAACTAAGTTAAAGATTAAAACAAATGCATTTTCCGATTTCATTTGCATGACGCCTTCCGAACTCCCCTTTTAGAAACAAAAACCTTATTTTGACTCCGTCGCTGAACCTGGCTGCTTCACAGTCTCCACAGTAATCACATCCTCTCTGCTTTAAGAGAAGTCTTCATTTGCTGTGAGTTGATAACCAGAAGTGAAATAAGTTTGTAATTTCAGAAATGTTGTCAAATCAAAATCTCCTTATGATGGAGACAGGCATCCAAGAGAAGAAAGACGACTAAAAGGTCCTTTAAAAGTGTAACTAATGAAAAAGCACGTTGATCAGAAAGTTCTCCAAAAGAATGAGAGACAGATGGAGTGGGAAATCAAACGTAGGTGATTTGCTGCTATTGGCCCTCTTCGTCTTCCTTCGCGCCGTTATTGGTCATTTCCCGGATGGTTATCCGAAGTGGTTTTGATCCACCAAGGTCTCCGTATTCGCCAAGTAGAGCTGACAGCCAGTCTGTGATCGAGGGTTCCGTGAACCAGGGCGCTGGTACCCGCGGAGGACCTAGTTGTCGTGTCCATGGCCACACAGATGGCCAACTGGTCGACGCAGCTGACTGGGCCGCAAACGGGCGAGGATTGGGTCGAGTGTACTTGTCGGTGTGAGTGTAATGTTGGGGAGGGGACAACACTACAATGTTAGTTGGTCGTTGTGGCGGGAGTAGATGAGAGCAACACCGACATGGTGGTGATTCTGTCCAGACCGCTGTAGGCGCATCCGGCTTGGACGGATTTTGAGAAGCCGTAGTGGATGGGTTATCCAGTTGTGAGCACTGAGCAGTCTGCATTTCACTCAAGGCCTCCTCATCTGTCGTGCCGGCCCTGTCACGACGCTCCAACAGGTCGAGTATCTGGATCAGCTGGTCTGTGCTGTTTTCTGACAGGGCTGCAGCCTTCTCTTTAGCTATCTGGAGCTCGTTTAATTCTGCACTCCTAGACAATTTTTTCCTCCTTTTCTTTCTGCGCCTTACCTTCACGGGACTATCCAGCCACCAGACTGTAGCGTACTCTGACGATCGTTTTCGGGTCACTGGCTTTAGTTTTTTGGACTGAAGGCCGCAGCGTTTGCCCTCATCTGGGCTTGAAAACGACTTCATGCCACTGCAACCTGCTCTTACCCCGTGTCTGGCATCGAGACTGGCATTTACTACAGCCAGAGCGTCTGTCAAAAGGCGGTTTGGCGGAAATGGCGTTGAGGCCATGCTTTCCACACGCTCCAGAACGTCCATCAGTTGAGCATCCACGGTCTGAACTGTGTTGGTGTCAAATTCCTGTTGGCTCGACGTTTTGGACGATCGATGCACTGCAGGCGGCCTGTTGATTGGCCGACATGGGACTTCTGACCTCCAGGAACTGTGTGACATTACGTCAGATTGACTCGGAGGTTCGTGACAAGCAAAACATTTCTGATCCGGAGCCTCCTGTAGACCAGTGGCACCACAAAGGTCCACCCGGAGGAAGTTATCACAGTCCCTGCTGAAGGCCGGCCCGAACTCCTGAAGACTGTCTTCGGGTTGCCTCCCAGAGAACCGTGAGGAGCATGTGGGTTCTCCACGAATGTTTTCGTGTCTGACTCCAGGAGGCTCATGTGTTCGTCTAAATGACGTCCGATCAAGGAGAGATGCTCTTTCATTCTTGTCTTGGAAACAGTCCCGATCTCGTCCACCAGAGACTATTTCATCTAGACTTCCATGACAAACTGCAGGAGGCATTTCTTCGACATTGCACTTCCTTGGAGTCTCTTCAGCTTTGCTAACTGACGTGCTGACACTCTGGCAGATGTCACAATCATTCTGAGATTTCAAATCAAAGCAGGTAGACCTGTCTGTGAACGTAGGCCCATCGTTATCGCTGTCTGTCGTAGAATAAGCTTTACGAGACCCATGCAAATTCTGATCCCGATAGTCCTCATTCTGCAAAGGTTGGTTTGCTGAACTATGGAAATTCTGTACTGCGGTCGGATTAAGAGCCGATCTGCCAGCCCTCGCGTGTCCTTTGCTGATTGCATCTCGGCACCTCGGCTTTGCAAGGACACATTCTGACTTAGACGTTGCTTTTTCAAAACATTTGGCGTACTGCGATACGCCACAGTGACAACCGTTCGTTGGACGTTCCGCCCCATTTGTCTTAAAACCATGGAAACTTGGGTTTGGTGGTGAATTAGCAACCATGGCCATGTTGTATGAGTCTCCGCGGAAAGTCCTCCAGTCAGCTATGGGAGTTCCTCCAAAGGGTAATCCTGTGGTCCCTTCGATACGATTTGCGCATCTGTTAAATGTCGGTATGCGGTGTCGACAGAAACGGCATGATTTATATCCACTCCTGCGGTGAGTAGGTACTTTAGGCATGGTAACGGTGCTCGGGCATTTTGGAGCCCCGCACGGTGGGGGGCAGCAATCCGAGGTTACATAAGGCTGACGGTCGCAGACAGTGTAAATTGCCCCACCTAAGTGTCTTTCGGAACATTCTCCACATGTCGCGCACTTCCAAGTCCCGCACTGTGGAGGACAGCCATCCAGTAGTCTGCACGGCCGACGGCCACAGTCAGTGTAAATGGTCCCATCAAGCTGTCTTTCGGAACATTCACCATATGCCGGAGGCTGACAGATCGGACGCCAGTCGTCTACAGCCCCAGTACAGCAACACTTGTAAGTTCGACATTCATTCCTGAGGTGTGGCTCCATGTGCGGGCACCATTCGTGACAAGTCATAGGTCCTCGTCCGGCCATCGCGAGAAGCTTGTAATAATCTTGGAGGATCTCCTGAGACACGGTGCTGCCACAGTGAGCTTTACAAACGACATTGCTGTCGGAGCCTAGGGGTGGTGAACAGTTTGTTGGATTTCCATCACTTGTAGATTCGCCTACGAATGGTATTGGCCTACAGTCGATGACACGCAGAATAGGCTCATTGGAAATAGGCCCTGCGACGGCTGAATCATGTTCCCGCCGACGATTCGGATCATCAGTGTTTGACTTTTCAGCTACAGTGTCAGGCAACCCCTGGAATGACTCATTTGCAATCTTTATCTCCGGGACAAGTAATCGGTCGTTGCTGACTCCCTCCTCGTGTTTGCCTCTTTTCTCTGCAGCTGAGGAAAGCAGGTCTCTCGGCTCAGCTTCCCTCAGGCTTTCGGTTCTCCCACTCGAAGAGTCCTCTACTTGTGGAGATTCCTTCGCAGCTGGCTGGTCAGTTCCGACGTTCAAGTCGGCCTCGTTGACACTGTGTGAGCGTCCTTCTTCCACTACTCCTAGTGAGGGGTGTCGCTTACGTTCATCGTATTCTTGCCGATTCTTGTCATTTATGCTTCTGGGACTGGCATCTTTAGGCGTTGGCGCGTCCGAGCTATCTGACCTCCCAGCTTTCGCGCCTACTACGTAGGGCTTTTGTAAGGACTGTCGCTTCATGGCCTCAGTTTCTGTATTTGGCCGAAGACTGACACCTTCTGTCGGCCAATTTCCTCGATCGTGACTGCTGTCAACGGCAGTTGTGGTTTCGCTGCGACTTAGGCGAGTTGTAGTACGTAGGCTAGCGCTGTCTGGTGCTGTGAAGGGTGGATGCCGGACTACGGCGGAATTCCATTCGGGAAAAAGAGGCAGGGAGCCTGGAAGACTAGTAGCGTAGTAACCGTGCGTTGACGGAAGGTCGGACTCCAAATTTAACTGTTTGAGTTCTCTCAGAAACTCTTCTTCCGAATACTCCTGCTGCTCACATCTGTCCAATAGGTCGAGTACGCTGACCAATTGTTCTCGAGCAGAAGCAGTCTTCTTTAGACTTTGAGCACAACCTTCTTCTCCAGCGTCACTATTATGACGCCTTGCTCCTACATCTTCTGTATTGTTCTCCTCCTGGCTCGTTTGAGGTGAAGAAGATAAGTAACTGTCCTCCTCTTCGAAATCTGCCCCCGAGAATTCAGTCGGTAGAAGTACCGAAGACACTTCCGTATAGGGAATCTCTGCACAATTTTCTTCAGAGGCAAGCAATCCTTTTGCCAGGTTTGGCTGCTTACAGAACACAGTATTTACATCAGCGGGGGCTTCCCTTAAAAACTGCACTTTTAATGGCTGTTCCAGGTGGAAATCTCCCCGCAGGGCTCCGTTCTGTGGAGGTGTCGTTATTTCAGCCACTGCCTCATCAACTTCCAGGGAGAAAATACCTTCATCCGTTTCGTTGGGAACATGTGCGGAAGTCTTCAGGACTGTTTCTTCGGAGGTCCATTGCTTCTTTTCCCTGGTGTCATCTGACCTGTTGTCGCTCGGCTGGCTTCCTGAGGATTTTTCGGACTCCAGGATAACCGGAGTCTGCTTTGCTTCCAGGTTTTGCAATTGTGATGCGGAAGTAGGAGCCTCCTTGTGCTTGTCGCTCCGTTGCAGACAGTTCAACAGACTCCTCACTGGCAAACAACCTTCCGTAGAGCTCGAAGATCCTTCCGCCGTGACTGTCCCACTATCTGCTGTAGGAATATCATTAGGTAAGGAATTTACTTCCTCGGGTGCATCGTCTTCCAGCGGCATAATTTGACCGCCAGATGCCGAAAAAGGTGCCTGTGCCTCAGTTACTTGTTGCAGTCGTTTTTCACCGGACAGTCCAGACAGTTTTGGTTTTTCATTCTTTGGAGGGACTGTCGAACTTTTGGCGAACCGTAGACATTTTTGGTTCACGGATCTCGTTTGACTACCTCCTCGATTCGCCTTAGGTCGGTCCATCAGATGGGTTAACGGCATGCATGCTTTGCCAGGTAACGAGGCCATCACCTCCGTGACTTTGCTACAGCCTGTCTGGACAGGTGCATGCTCAAAATGAATCTCTTTCGCCGACTCATCGGCCTCCAGGGATGGTTTCTCGACTGCCGAATCGGAAGGAATGTCTACTTGAGTCCTCTTTCTCATCTCAGGCGACTGTGGGCATGGTTGCACGCAAATAGGTGGGATTGTACCCGAATCCAGATAAATCTGGGGATTCGGTCTCCGTGGGCAGTTTACTGTCGTCCGGATGACAGACTGACCAAGTACCTGGTTGTTGTCAAGAACGATATCTCTGAAGTCCTTTCTAATGACCCCGACAAGCCCAACCACCTCTTCCAAAAGTCGGCTTATCTCGAGCCTCTCCCTGTTTGGATTCTGATCGCCTGGACGCGGACGAGACATCGGCCTGCTAAAGGACGTCCTCAGATCTCTCACAGCCTCCTTCATGTTGCCTTGTATAACAGTAAGTAGGCGTGCTGCTGCTGTTTCTTCGATTGGAACTCGGTATCCTCTGGAACTCTGGTCGCCCTGAGGTAAGGGATACTGGTCAATCATGTGATGCATCGTAGTACCCAGATCACGTAGACGCTCACTTAGGTTCCTCGTAACATAGAGCAGGGCAGTATCCAGGGGATTCGTAACCACGCACCTCATTTGAGACAGTGATGGTGGTGGTTGTGAGTAGTAGTCTCCATAGTGGTATCCACAAGAAGGCGTGTTGATAACGGCTCTTGCCAAGTCTCGCACTTCCAATGTGAGTTCCTCCATTCTTCGAAGGACTCTGCTGCCAGAATTACTGAGCGGCAGATTGCACATTCCCAATGATCTGGGGTAAGGCCCGACGTAGCACTGGTTCAGACATGGAGGTCCTATACTTAGGAGTTCCCGACCGCACTTACTAACCGCCGAAATGCTGTCGTCAACTTTAAGTCGAACTTCCATTACTTGTGGTGACACTGGACAGACCGCTTTGATTGGTTCCTTCTCGGTCTGGCAGTGCACATCGGAAGACGTTGTCTTCTTCTGCGGAGGCGTGGCAACTCGGGGGCATTTTGTTGAATTCAGATGTGGGACTTGGAGACGTTTCACTGCCACAGGTTGCGAGGCTTTGGGTACACATTTCACGACAGACGCTCGTTTTTTGCAAACTGAACTTTGCAGATTCCGTACGGTGGAGTTGACATAATTATGTCCCCGATCCTTCCTCCGGTTTGCATATGGCAAAATCACCGTCTTTTTAGATGTCCTTTGTGTGTCTGGGCAAGGTTTCTGCGTCAGCGAACTCATTTTTCCCGAAAGGCATCGCACAGTGGTAACTAGTTCTTCAAGGCTTTGCAGAACTGTCGAATTATTACTGGGGTTTGTCATTTCTAAGACTTTTGATTTATCTGCGTTGTGCGTACGCAGTTCTGCCGTCTTCTAGTCGGTTTTGGACAATCTTCATTCCTGTAGGCCTTTCATGGGCATTTTGAGTGCTAAATCACATTTCTGAAGTGCTTCCGTCTCTTCCAGTCACAGCTGATCACATATTTTTCAAGTAATATCTCCCCCCACGAGAACCTTCGATGCACAGTGACCTTGCAGTTTGTTGCTTCTCCGTGTAAGGTCCTAGAAAGTAATCGGAAGGTATAAAAGTGAATATGTGTTCTTATTCGAGGGTAGCAGTAGTAATGCTTTATCCAGGCCAACACCGAAACCGCGCCCTGACCATGTGCGAGGGACGTGCAAATATCGATCCCTGAGCTCACGCCTAGCAGCGCTATCGTTCATGGGTTGGGTTGGCGGAAAATCACGTGACCAGCAGAGCTTTTCGCTTTCCCGCCATAAAATATTGGGTAGCTGATGAAATCAGATGAAGCCCAGGATAAAAATCACCTTAGTTCCCTTATTTGAGGTATTTTTAGAGTCAAATTCCGGATTTATGCGAAAGCTGGCAGTCTACAGGCAACTCGGTGGTCATTAATCTAGAAATAGTTTAGGAACTGCGACATACCGAGCCGGGGCTTGAAAGGTTTTTAGCTAAAGGCGTAACTTATTACTGCTGAGGACCGACAAACATATTTAGTGAGAATCTGCTTCAGTGCAAACAAATTCGCGCTGCAGTCACTAGTGCGGCCACAGCGTGGGTTGCCGACAGCCAATCATGATCACGCCTGGTGTCCTTGTTCAAGGTCCCGTTGCCTCAAGGTCATCTACGTTCGCAGCGGGCATTTCCAGACGCGCTGACCCGCAGCCACTTGCCCGACTTCAACTCACATGCGCGTGCACCCACAGAGGTGAGGCCGCCCATCAAACCATGCGAATGCAACACGAGTCACTTTAACACTACCTCTTGCAAATCTAACACACACTGATTGGGCACCTCTTGAGCTTGCCCCAAATACCTGCAAAATCAGCTGCCACCTGTCTCGAGAACTCTCAGGGATGACAGGAAACGGTCAATACTAGCCCTGGCTTCGCCAATGGTCACTGCCGCCTGAAAGGTCAACTCAGGATTCTGTATACAATAGACTCCTCATTCCGGTGGCCTCTGTCCCTCCCCTATAACATGGGATGAGGCCTGAGGATTGTAGCGCCCCGGCTACACTCCCACTTCTCAGCCGCTATAGCACCTCGTCGCTTGCGACGACTGGACTGCATGATATGAGAAGATGCGGTGTGGTGTGAAGCCCGTGTTTATCGCCTGCCAGCTAGAGCTAAGACCTCACAGGATGGAAAGATGTCATAAAAGCTGCATTAAGGAGGCACTAAAATATAACTTACCCTACCTAAAGGTTGTAACGACAATGTGTGAGTGTGTCGGTACTCAGAGCACTACAATCATCAGGCCGAATCCCAAGTCGTAAGGAGAAGACAAAAGGCACCAGAATGAGGGATTTATTGTGCACAGAACCCGGTGTTGTCCTCTCCGGCGGCAGTGGCCACTGGCGAAGCCAGGGCTGGTGTTGACTGCGTCCAGTCAGGCCTGAGGGTCACGAGATAATGATGGCAGCCGCTTTTGTAGGCTCGTGGGCCAAGCTCAAGTAGTGTCCAGTGAGCGTGTGTTGCTTTGCCGACGGATGGTGTCCCAGTGGCTCGTTTTGCTGGTTGCAGGGGGTGGCGCGTTCAAGTGGCCGCATGGGCAGCTGCGACCGCGCGGACGCAGGTATGCCCGAGCTGCTGGTCGTGTGACTTCAGGTCAGCTCGTCTGGGACGGCTCGCTGCAAGGGATGAATGACCTTGAGGCAGCGTGGTCTTGAACAATGACGCCAGACCAGTCAGGATGGCTAGTCGCCACAAGGTTTCGGAGTTCTCGTCTCCGCTGGCAAACTTCAACGTCGCATCTTTTGACCCATTGTGGTGAGTTCTAGCGCGTCAGCTTTAGTACCGTAAAGTATTCGATGATTTGCCGGGAAAGGGGATTCCTCCATATTAGTCTCATCCTCACTTCCCTTTTTGATGACCGAGGATGAGCGTGAGCTCAGGGGTCGACTTGGCGTGTGCCTCCGTCTAACTCAGGCCAGGTACGCAGCGCACAATAATTCGCCCGTTGTTATCGATGGCTGCATATTTCACCGCAAGTGTTGTTATCTATATATATAAAAATGGAAGGTTTTTTTTTCTGTGTTATATCTAATCTCCGAAAGTACTGCACCGATTGCGCTGAAATTTGGCCACAACCCGACCCGCGCATAGGGCCGGGTTTTTGGCTGGTCAGTTGTGTAATTATGCCGATGGTATGCCTGTGATGGGTAAAAAACTGGATATTTTCCGGCATAACAACGCCACCAGCTGCGGCCACTTGACCTACATCCGCTTGTGCCCACACGTCTACCCGCCGAGCCACTTGACCGACATTCGCTCAAACGCACGTGCTCCACCCGACGGCCGTGCCCACCCCACCACTCACCTCGCAGGCACTTGAGCAGGCCCTCCACCCTCTCTAGGCCGCTGCAATATGGGCCGCCGAGCAAACCACCCCTGGGGCAAAAAAACACGCGACACTTGGACGCCACTTAAAATTGTCCCACAGCCCACATAATAGGGCCGTCACCGCTTACTCTGGGAATCTTGAGGGTGAGGACTGGACGCAATTAACGCCAGCCCCAGCACCCCGCGCAACCCATATAATAGGGCTGTCGCCCAATGTCAGCTCAGTGTAGTGCAGCTCGGCTAGCGGAAGCCGGGTTGCGGTCACAGCTACCGCGTTCTGCAGCTTCGGGCCTGCTTAGTTCAGCAACAGAAAGAACAATGCCGATTTCAACACAGTATCCATTTACTTTTCGAGATGGTGCCGTTGGATATCACTTCAACGTTAAGATCATAAATTCAGTCAGTGACGAGGAAATGCACGCGAAATTTAGTGGAATGAATTACTACTCCTTCCGACTTATGCTTCGACAGAATGTAAGTAAACCCCTTTTGAACTGCCGTCAATTGCTTCATCACTGCACTAGCTGGGCCCGGCCACGCGTTGCTGTGGCTCATGTGGATTCAAAATCTCGGTTGAAAAATCAACCTGCCTCGTCTGCTTCCACAGCAGTGTCGATGGACGTATATGTGGCTGCCCCGCTTTGAATCTTAGACTGAATAATATGGTTAAGATCGTACACGTGTTTGTTTTTGGCCGCAAGGATAGCTCGTTCGCTTAATCGGTCGTGATTGTCGAAAGTGGTCTGAATAATGGAAGACACCTTTTCAACCAATTACTCTTTTGTGGACA